GCGCAATGCACTCGGATATTTTCCCCATGCTGCATTGATATCAGCACCCTCTTCAACAAGGATCTGGACGACCTTTGTAAGGCCTTTGTAGGAGGCAGCCTGCAACAAGCTCCCATATGTTTCCTCCGCTGCATTGACATCAGCACCCTTTTGAGCAAGGATCCGGACAATCTCTGTGTAACCCTGGTAGGAGGCAGCCTGCAAGGAACTCCCATATTCTCCCCCAGCTGCATTGACATTGGCGCCGCTTTCAAGAAGGATCTGGACAACCTTTGTATGTCCCCAGTAGGAGGCAGCCTGCAATGCGCTCCCATATTCACCCCTTGTGGCATTGACATCAGCACCCTTTTCAAGCAGGATACGGACAATCTTTGCATGGCCTCTGTAGGAGGCAGCCTGAAAGGAGCTCCCATATTCTCCTCTGGCTGCATTGACATTGGCACCACTTTCAAGAAGGATCTGGACAATCTGTATGTGGCCCCAATAGGAGGCAGCCTGCAATGCACTCCCATATTCTCCTCCTGCTGCACTGACATCAGCACCCTGTTCAAGCAAGATATGGACAATCTCTGTGTGGCCTCTGCAGGAGGCAGCCTGCAGTGCACTCCCACATCCTCCTCCTGCTGCATTGACATCAGCACCCTCTTCAACAAGGATCTGGACAATCTGTATGTGGCCCCGGAAGGAAGCAATGTGCAATGCACTCCCATATTTTCCCCATGCTGCATTGGCATCAGCACCACTTTTGAGAAGGATCTGGACTATCTCTGTGTGGCCCCAATAGGAAGCAGCCTGTAATGGACTCCCATATTTCCCCCCTGCCGCATTGACATTAGCACCCCTTTCAAGCAGGATACAGACCATCTCTGTGTTGTCTCTGTCAGAGGCAGCAGCAGCTTGCAATGCACTCTGATACTCTCCTCTTGCTGCATTGACATTGACACCCTTTTCAAGAAGGATATAGACAATCTCTTTGTGACCATAGTGTGATGCTACAATGATCTCTTGTTCCATTGACTGCTGTGGTGATGGTGCTGGCTCCAGCAGAAAATTTGCAGTGTCCACAAGGTTTGTAGCTGCTGCAATCCACAATGCAGAGGGTTCTGACGGCCAGTCTGGATAATCCCATGGTGGGGAATTCCATTTCTTCCCCATTGCTTTCTTCCATTGCAATGCCCTACCAACAAACTCTAGAAGGATTTCCTGGAGTTGGGTTTCAGGCTGTCCAGCAACATGTGCAAGACAATATTGAGAATACTCAACAACAGGGGGCAGATCACTCCTCATCCAGAAGGGATTTGGATATCCCTCAAAGGCTAGGACTGTGAGCAGAGTGCGTGTTATCTCTGTTTGTGCATGTGGGAATAGCACAGCCTGAATGCTATCCAAATATTCCTGTGTGGTGTAGTGGACGAGTCGTACCACAGAAGACCCCTTGTCTACAATGACAAGCCCAGCACAGACAGACAGAATAATCTGGATGTCTAGAACATTGTCTTCATCAAGTTTCCGGGCTTGTGGCTCAATAGCCAGAGCAACTGTTATTTCAGAGACTTTCAATGGCCGCTTTGCATTAGCAACCCAAACAAGGGTGGAATGAGCAGTCCTTCTGTCTTCCTCACTCTGGGCCTCAATTCGCTGCATTGCAATATCATAGCTGTCATTAAGACTTTTTGGTAGCTCCTTCAAAGCTTCCCTAACAGCCTTTATAGTGTTCCTTATGCTGAGAGACTCCATGTGAAGCTTAGCCAACAGGAACCTAGTCAGAATTTATGTTAGTTGCTTTTGGACATAGGTGGTTCTGCTCACATTCCATCTGCAGCATCAGTGATCTTTGCATGTATTTCTTCTCGTAACTCAGGTTGCTTCTGAACATGCTTGGACAGGCGGGGAGACAACTTGATCTGTGTATCAATATATCCTTGAATATCCTCCAGTGCTGCCTGAATATCTAGTATTTCAAGCTCAGGAGAGCAGGAAGGCTCTGGAGAAATGTTCGGCCGTGAAGTGATCATCAAGTTCACATTGCTACCCATTGCTGCTAGATGTGAGAGTAAAACTTCTCGTTGAAGTTCAGGATATTCATCCATGGCATCAACAATAATGAAGACCTTTGAAAACTCCTTGAGGCTAGAGCTGAGAACATCAGCAACTTCTTCCAGCAATGGTGCAGTGTTCTTCTCTTGGTGCTGCTGATACAACTCCTTTGCTACAGAGCCAACATCCCTGCCATGTACAAGCTGTCTCCAGAGACCTGCCAGAAGCTTAGATGGTGTTTGGTTGTCAGTTTCCTTGTGGTTCAAATACATGCAAGCCACACCAAGGTCCTTGTTGTTTCTGCATGCAGCATTGAGGTGATCCACAACCATTGATCTAAAAACATCATAATTAGTAGCAGCCACTCAATGTCTACAATTGACACACGCAAGGACAGTTTTCCCTGCACCAGCTGTATATTTCAGCTTTGTTAGTCCAGGATTCATGAGAGCAATGAGTTACATACGAATTCCACGGCACCAAAGTGTCCTTCTGGAACCAGATTCCCATTGCTTAAAGAGAGGATTTTCAAGCAGCCACCCACCAGTTCCTTTCACCCGCAACTGTGAAATATCTGCCTGTTGTAGAAAAAAATTGATAGGTGAAAGCCAGTTAAGGAAGTCTTGGCGCAGAATATTCCTTATTTCCTCTTTCTCGGTGCCTTGGTGTATCGCAATATGTATGATTTCAGCAGTGGCATTCAGAATGGGGCCAAGCCCAGGACCTCCATCGCCACCCTGTTGGCCACCTGTTCCACCATTGCCTCCTGTGCCTCCTGGGTAAAATAATTACAGATGTCAGTATCCTAGTGCATTGACACACACCTTTCATGTTAACTACATAAGAACTACTTGGTTCACGAGGCATGGCCATTCTGCATAAGTGCGGAGTTTATGTATGAGTATATCAGCCAGTGCTGAAAGTCAGATGGTAAACAGAACTGACTGAAGAGAATAGAGTGTTGCAGTACACTTGGGGGTGGTAATGTATTGGGCAAAGACAAGTATAAGATGAGGGGTCCGAGAAACATGGACAGGCCACATCACTTCACTCTCTTTATAAGATTAAGCGAAGCCGTATCTCCGTATGGTTAAATTGCGCAGCATGACCAACACACTGGCACGGCAGATTAGCGCCATCCTACCAACATGCGGAAAGTGATCATTATTCAGCCCCGCTCACATGCCGAGCTACAGGCTCCAGAGAACTTGAGAAGAGCTTGATGTCTGCCATAGTCGAGATGCCGTTTTGGGCGGATCAATTTTTTTTTGGAAGTTACTTATTCACTTGACAGACTGTTCCCTCCTCGGCTTCGCATGCAATATCCACTAGAGTTAGTTGTCGTTAACCCCAGCTTTACACCACATTTCTGAGTCTGCAAATTGCGGAACATTTCAACACAACTTTCTCAGCTTGCTCTACAAAAAGTCACAACAAATGAGCTGAGCAAGTGGGGGGCCGGCGACCGCTTGTTGCGCTTTAAATTAGACACAAGACCGTAGCGGCAGATCCGGCGAAGTAGTTGGCCTCACTGTTCCCGCCCAGTACTTACGGGAACATCGAACTTGGATTGATGTGGCGCTTCGACGATGACAGGCAGCTGACAGTGACACCTCCATATTGGGCTTCCGAATGCACTGTTGTAGTCCCGCTCGCAATGCAGATCAGTCCGTAGTCTCAGTGAGCTGGAGGATAATAGCCACAGTGCCCTGAACGAGGACTTGAAGGTGTCGCGTGGTCGTTGCATTATTAGTGTGCCATACTTAGTAACTTACGTTGGTGTCGAACTTAGATTGACAGTGGCGTATCGGCATGGCAGCAAGATTTGCACTGACGGCCAGGAATCAATATTGGGAACCTAGTCAAAGATACAAAAGAAACATCTGGGAATGTAGGCTATGACCTGCATTAAATTAGCTCTTGTTGGAAATGGACTCCAACCTCTGACGAGGAGGCGCCAACGACTTCCTCTTCCAGATCGACGGTCGTACCGTGATTACCGTCGACATTGACGAATCTACATAGCTCCCCTTCGGTGCCCGCGGCGATGTGTGTCCTGGTCACGAAGCATGCCGTGGATCACGCGTCCCACTTCCGGTGCATATTTATCGCCGATGTGCTTATTGTTGGACAGCCAAGGCGCGCGTGTCCCACTACCTCGCTGCTGCCTTCTCCGCGGGCCTCTTCCCACTCCGCTCGCTCGCCCTCGCATGCACCTTCCTCGTGTACCCCTCCGCCAAGTACCCCCGGCGGGAATGGACCCCTTCGCCGTTGGCCCTATTCCTGTGCGCCGCTCGCGCTGGTCATCTTCTTCCCTCTCCACGCACTCGGCCTACGTTATGGTCCCGACGCTCTGAAACGACGACGCTGGAGATTAGCGGCCCGCCTCCTTCCTCGGCCCGTCATTCATCACGCTGGATCCGCCAAGCACCAGCAGCAGCCGACCACGACGAACAGGCCCATCTCGCGCGCTTCAGCGTTCGCACCCCACAACGGCGACGGCGACCAGAACGAGCCGCGCAGCACGCGGGTGAACGGCATTTTACCGTCGTGCATCTTCCCGAATGCAACGGACTTGATGTGGTGGCAATGTGGTGGTACTAGGCGGCTCAGCTGCAGGGGCAGTGGGGCATATCACTCTCACCATCTGCTACAAACGGAAGCACTGAGGCGGTATACCATGATCCGTATATGATGTTCGATTTATTGTCTGGTTGAGAACTATCGTGAATGTGCATTTCTTGAAGCAGAACTGGTGGTAAAAAAAGTTTTCGATTATCAATTTTTATTCAGACACGGGGAGTCGAACCATCCGACTACTCAATCATTTCATCATGATGTGCAAAGAGGGCGTGTACCATGCACCATGTCCGATTTATGACCTGGTTGAGAACTTTGGTAGATGTGCAATTCCTTTGAAGTACAAACGGACAGAAAAAAAGCCAGCTTGGAAATAATTGTAATTCAGACACAGGGAATTGAACCCCGAACTGCCTCTGCCTGCGGGCGACGAGCTATCCAAAGGAGGAGGCGATGTACCGTACACCATGTCCGATTTATTGCCTGGTTGAGAACTGTCATGGATGCGGATTACTTGAAGCAGGAATAGAAAGAAAAAGAATCTTCATGCCCTCGAGCTACTCGGACACGGGGAGTCGAACCCCGAGCTGCCTCCGAATGCTTGGTTTCCAGTGAACAGTCAATGCAGGAGGCCGTGTACCTTACACCAGGTCCGACTTATTGCCTGGTTGAAAACTGTTATGGGTCTGCATTTTCGGAAGCAGAAATGGGAAGAAAAAAAAACTTTTTCCGAGATCTACCGCCTATTCAGACATGGGGAATCGAAACCCAGACTGCACTCCGATGTTTTTCCTGAGGATACAGCAATCGAGGCGGTGTATACTGTACACCATGTCTGATTTATCACCTGGTAGAGAATTGTGCTGAGTGTGCGTTTTGAGGCAGAAATGGAGAGAAAAAAGGAGTTCAACCGAAATCTTATTCAGACACGGGGAGTCGAACCCCGAGCTGCCTCCGAATACTCCCAGAAAGATCATGCAAAGAAGCCGTGTACCGTACACCATGTCCGATTTATTGCCTGGTTGAAAACTGTTATGGGTGTGGATGTCTTGAGGCAGAACTGAAGCGAAAAAAGTTGCTTGGTCAGACCTATTCAGACACGAGGAATCGAACCCCGAGCTGCCTCCGAATTTTCCCAGAGCCATCTTGAAAAGATAGAGGCGGTGTACCGTACACGATGTCTGATTTATCACCTGCTTGAGAATTCGTACGAGTATGGATATCTTGAGGGAGCCCTGGAGTGACAAAAGTTGTTCGATATCCCTGCCATTCAGACACGAGGAATCGAACCCCGAGCTGCCTCCGAATTTATTGGGGGAAACCCGTGGAAAGATAGAGGCGGTGTACCCTACACAATGTCCGATTTATGACCTGGGTGAGAACTGTTATGGGTGCGGATTACTTGAAGCAGGAATAGAAAGAAAAAAATCTCTTCGAGACCGACGTACTCAGACACGGGGAGTCGAACCCCGGGCAGCCTCTGATCTCCAAAGCTGGACTCTAGGGAGTGAGACGGTGTGCCGCACACAATGTCCGATTTATTGCCTGGCTGAGAATCGTTCTGAGTGTGGATTTTCTTGAAGCAGAAGTGGAGAGAGAAAAAAGTCTCCTGCTCTTCTGGCTCCGCACTCAGACGCGGGGAGTCGAACCCCGAGCTACCTCCGAGTTCACCTGGAACTCTCTTGCAAAGATAGAGGCATGTCCCATACACCATGTCCGATTTATGACCTGATTGAGAACTGTTATGGGTGCGCATTTTTGGAAGCAAAAATGGAGAGAGAAAAAATCTGACGAGACCACGCATTCGGACACGGGGAGTCGAACCCCAGACTACCTCCGAATTCATCAGAACCGCTGCGCCACAAAGATAGAGGCGGTGTACCATACACAATGTCCGATTTATGACCTGGTCGAGAACAGCTCTGAGTGTGCATTTTAGAAGTTGAATTTCTAAAACCGTGTGAAACGGCCAACACGGCGAGTGCACGTCATGAGCTGTGGCTGTGCTTTTCTGTCTTGTACGACGACGACTCCAATTTTCCGTTGACGCCGCCATGTCCGCCTCCGCACCCTCTGGCGCATCCGGCGCTTCTGGCGCTTCTGGCGCACCATCCGGCGCATCCGGCGCATCTGGCGCATCCGGTGCCTCAGCCTCAGCTCCCACCCCCCCTCCAGCCTCCAACTCCGTCCCCAACGCGCCCTCCATCGCACAGACGAACCCGCCCGGCTTCGCGAGCTTCACGCAGCCGCCGCAGACGGCCACGAGCTTCTTCAAGATCGCGGAGAACCAGATGATCACCATCGCGTGGAACCTCACCAGCGTCATCGCGATCCCCACGAGCCTCACGCTCAACGCCGTGGGCGACAACGGGAACACGTACCCCGTGGGGTCAGACCCGTCGGGGCATGTTCCTGGGACAGCGACGAGCGTCGTGTGGGATATCTATTCGTATAACCAGGTGCACTTTCCCCCATTTCTTGAATATTTGGGATTTGTGATCGAGGTGGTGATGATGCTAACGACAACCTGCAGGCACACCCTGGGACCCCCGCTCGCACAGGGATCGTATACGCTGCACATGTGGGACGACCGCGGCCCCAGCGCGACCGCCCGTGCGGGGTACATGAGCCCCAATACCGCCCTCTCGTTTGCCATGTACACACCGCAGGCGTACACCCCGTTGTCTAGTGGTGAGTCGGCTTCTCGACTCTACTTTACTGTACTGTACTGGACTCTGCTCTCTGCGGTGCTTCGTGGCACGGGGGAGGGACGCCGCCGCGTTACCCACGGGCGGCGTGTAACCTCCGAACGGGTTACCTGTCGTCCATTCTCCTCCCTATATTTATATTCACCGCACACGCGTCCGGTCCCCCCCTCCCTGACGTCCTTCTTCCACTCCTCCCTCCCTTCCCGCTCTCGTCCTGCTTTTCTTTTCTTACCTTGCCCCATCCATCCACACCGTACCGCACGCCGTTAGCACCGGCGCGGCGTGCAAACTCCGTGCCGGGCTCTCGTCCTCACCCCGGACCGGTCTTTATCCCCCTGCATCTACCCTTCCTTCGACCCCGCTTCCTGTCCCATCATTCTTTCCATCCATTTTTTGTACCTTCCCGCCTCCCAGCTCTCCATCTCGTCCCGCTCCGTCTCCCTCCCCGCTCCCTGCTGCCTTCTTCCTGTCCCCCTCCCTCCCAGCCCGTCTGATCCTCTTTCCTCCCCGCCTCGACTTTCTCTCCGTCCCCACTCCCTCTCCTCCCTCGCCCTTCCCGCCTCTCCCTACTTCTCTTCCCTCCCTCTTTTCCTACTTCCCTCTCTCTCTCTTCTCTTCCCTCCCCCTCCCTCCCTCCCCTCCTCTCCATAAACTAATTCTCACTCCCTCTCCCCTCCCTTCTAGGCTGGTCCTGCACAGGCTGCTCCTCCGCGCTCGCCAACCGCCCCGCGCTCGCGGGCGTCCTCCTCGCGCTGCTGCTCGTGCTCGTGTCGGGCGTGCGGGTGCTGCGGCGCGCGGGGGTGTAGGGCCAGGCATCGTTCTTGGTTCCTGGTTCTTGCGCATTCGTCGGTTCGTTTGTGCGGGGCGGGCCGCCGGTTGGGGTTGGTGGGCTGTGGGTGCGGATGTAGGCGAGAAGGTGGGGGATGCGACGGGACACGGACTGTTTTCTTTCATTTATGCATTTATGCTTGGTACATCGCACGCACGGACAGACAGTTAGGTACAGAGGTACAGTTTACATTATTGTGAGACGGGGAGCGGGTGATAATAGAGGACACGAGTCGAGTCGCGTCGCGTCGCACAGTCGTTTCTCGCGCAATTGGTTTCTTTCTATTTACAAAAAACTCCCTCGGAAACACGCCTGCCTCTTCAACGCCCAGAGCCTCGCCACCCTGTCGCGGCCCTCGCCCTTGTACCGGTCCACAGCATCCCCGGCTCGTGTTGGTGAATGTACGATTCGGACAAACGCATCCTCTGCGGTGCCCGCCCGCCTTCCGATCCATCTCGCGTACCAAGCCATGGTGGGCGGCGTCCGCGGCGTCCGAGTCCCGGCTCGGGACGTTGCTGCCATTAGGACCCATAAGCACCAGCATCACAAAGCCGGAAAGGAATTATAGCAGCGCCCAGCCAATAGTCGACATACGCACGGAAATATGCCGGCTTCAATTTGCGCATCGGATGGATCTCAGGGAAGGAAAAGTTTAGGCGTCCTCCAAGCTTGGGCCTGTTTGATAGCGATAGCTTTGGAGGCCTCGCCGAGGAGAGATGGACCGACGGGGGACAGGAAAATGCCAGTGCAAGGAATCGCATAGCTCAGGTCAAACCCTGGACCAGGATTGGAGGATTTCTGGGTGTGGATAACGTGAAGGGATGGTGTTATTAGGTGAGTAGCGCAGCAAGGGGAAGGTGGTGAACGTCGGCCGAGAGCGCCTCAAAGCCGGAATTCATTTATTGAGGACTGTATATGCTCAAAAGATGGTCCGAAGTATAAAAAGAAGAAATTGCTAACTAAGACAGATAAAGTGAGAATTCAGGAGGGAGAGTATCCGACACGGCAATCTGAGAAGGGACATGTAGGTGGTCCTAGATAAGGGAGATGGAGGGCGGATGCGACACGCTCCATTGGTAATAGGATTCGCTCTGCTGCCGGTCATGGCGGTATCCCTTGAGGCTGCCGTCGAGCGCGGCGGAAGCATGGTGAAAGAGGGCCCGCCCCATTTCTACGAGCATCCGGTTCTTTCGCGATTGCTTCTTCTACACCTGCATGACCCGCGCACCTCCCCGCGACTTCTCGGCGGTGACTCGATACCCACCCACGCAATTCTGTGCTTGCGCAACGTCTTCGCCTGGTGCGCAGTCGCCTGCGCGTGGCGAGGGCTTGGATCGCAAGATCGTGATAGTCCAGCGCGGGACGTGGGCGAGAACGCGGCGGATGTGGGCGGGACGTGGTGGGCGTGGCGGATACGACCAGCTCGTCGTAAGCAACGTGCGTATTTTGCCCGCGCGTGGACCGCTTCGGAAACGTATTGTGGCTTGCGGGCTCCAAAGGCGAATGCGCGGGGGCCCGCTGAAGGTGCTGCGGGAGGAGCGTCGTCGATTGGGGGAGAGGGGTTGCTGGAGCCGCAGCGCGTAGGTGGAGACGCGATATGCGGGGAAATCGACACGTGGAGACGGATGGAGGTGACGGGGCTGTAGGCGGTCAGCGAAGGTAGATCGAGGGCCAGAGAGCCAGAGGGAGGGACGGGGGAGAGGGAGGCGACGTGTCTTGGGGGGACGCGTGTGCCGGTCGTCGGGAGCTCGTATCGTCCACTGATGAGGCCGCCACGGGTACGGACGGTGTCGTTGATGAACGACCGATTTGCTGTGCTACCCAATGCCTGACGATGTGGCGGCGCAATGTAGAGGGTATGGGGAGGAGACTAACCGCCATGTACAATTGTTGCGCATTGAACAGGGCATCGAATGGCGACAGTGGAAGCCTGGCCTG